AAAAAAACTCATTCCTATCATCGGATGAGCTCAAAAAGGATGTTTGGTCATTGAGCGTTTTCAATGCCGTAAATAAAAAGACGAATTTAATTAATTTTGAACGTTACAAATGTTTATTTCTGCATGCAGATGAAGCCGGATGATCCGCAGATAGACCAGCTTATGATGCATGCAGGGACTCAAGTAAATACAGAGAGAGGGCGGCCCGACCTAGACATTGCCGAGCTGAAGCTCTCGAAAGTGGAGAGGGCGGCCCGACCTAGACATTGCCGAGCTAAAACTCTCTATGGAAAGCTTGTTGAGTTGAGCGGCCGAGAAAGAGTCGGCTTGCGATCAACAAAGCCTTTGTACAAACTTAAGCCTAATAAATAAACATTACACTAATAATTACACTAAACATTACATAAACATTATTTAAACATAAACGTTAAACGGCGTGCTGCTGCCTGACCCGACAACCATGTTTGGATAGCAAAATTTAGGAAAATATCTGTGATTGATCAATTTATCCATTTTGTTTACATTATTTTTCCAAGGAGAGCAAATTGAATTAAATTTTTTTCGACAAAAAAATAATTGGATATCTGTTAGAGTTCTTAAGAAAAAATGGGAAAAAACGAACGCAAAAATCTTGTTTCTATTATTTTTTCCACCATTGTATGTATTAAAAATCATAGAATGATGTACTGGATCCTTTGCCCACTGTTGAGCCCTTATATTTTCAGTATGCATAACTGATGATGGTTTAGATTCTCCGCAACAGATCCCCATATTAGTCGTCTTAATGAAACAGACAAGGAGCTAAGGGGCATGCGGATGAAAAAGTCATGTACTACTGAGAGCCACGCTGCGTTGTTTTTCATACTTCCAAGATGTTGGGCCTCCAGCTACATAGCATAGGTATCCTGTGTATAACTTTTTATCAGTTTTGTCGCCTCCAAAGGCTCAATGCTTATTTGTAATGAAATTTTAGGTCTTCTGTCTGAGTACATGTTTTATTTCTGTCCAATGCTCAATATGGGGATCCTTGTTGCGCTGCGCCAATTTAGATACAGAATGTAAAATGTCTGGCCATTTGGAATCCTGCACGCAGTATTGGTGCAGCTGCTCTAAAATCCTTAATGCCGTGCCGCTGAAGCAGATTCTCAATATATTGACTGCCCGTGATCAACACATTTGAAGACTGATATGAGAATAAAAACTAAGATATAAGATCATTTTTCTCTTGGCAAGCTATACGTGGTCGTCCACGTATATAAAAATAATAATTTATAATAAACAAGATAGGAAAGCTAACTTCGGGCGGAGCCGAAGTTGATATACCCTTGCAGTTAAAACCGGATATATATCGCAAACATCGGATATAGTTGGCCGATCCTTATGAGAATATGATAATATAACCCAATTTATTATAATATAAAATCTAAAAACAAGTCCCAAACTTCTATCTTCAAAAATACCAAAGTTGGTATTTCTACCTAAAACCATTTCCGAACGTTCAGTTATATGGCAGCTATAAGATATAGTCAGCCGATCGTTGGTCGGATTAACTTTCCAAAAATATAATCTGTACCAAGTTCCTGCTTTCTATCTTCAAAAACACGAAAGTTGGTCATTTCCGAACAATCAGTTATATGGCAGCTATAGGATATAGTCGGCCAATCCTTATGAAATTTTAACTCTCTAACTCTAAAAACACCGCAGTTATACCATTTCCGATCAATCAGTTATATGGCAGCTATAGGATATAGTCGGCCGATCCCTGTCGTTCCGACTTATATACTGGGTGCAAAGGAAAGAAGGGTGTGTGCAAAGGTTCAAGACGATAGCTTTTAAACTGAGAGACTAGTTTGCGTAGAAACAGACAGACGGACCGACAGACGGACATGCTCATATCAACTCAGGAGGTGATCCTGATCAAGAATATATATACTTTATAGGGTCGGAGATGTCTCCTTCACTGCGTTGCACACTTTTGACCAAAATTATAATACCCTCTGCAAGGGTATAAAAATATTATAATAAATAATAATAAGGGAAATACATCCCTTGAATTCATGTATAGACATGGCTCATTTTTAGGTGTGTTAAAACCAATGATACGCTCTTTAAAACTCCATCCACACAATTTTACAGTTTCACTCTCTGACAAACTGTTTGAAGTTTTTTTTTGGGATTAGCAGAAATAGAAAGTTTTATATTGTGTATATATGCGCCAAATGTGCTGCTAAACATAAAAATTTTATCTTTTGTCGGTTACTACTCTTTCTGCACCATCCCATGCTCCCGGATTGCATATCCAACTATGCAAATATAGTTTTAACTGTGAAAGTATGAAACTAGTGCTTTCCATTCGACACACAGGTAAAAAAGTCTCAATGAAAAGTATTGATTTCCATACTGCTGTGTTCCATACTAGTATCGCTGCACTTGCACATTGCCATCCCTCTTCACAGTAAAAAACCCATTTGCAGACAAGTATTGTTTATAAAAGCCTCATACTCTCGATTCATCGCATTCAACCATAATTCAAAATCAGGACATCTAATTTCTAAATTGCTAATTAATTATTGCTAAAAATCAAAAAATCAAAATCAATTGCTAATAAAAAATTGCTAAATTTTTAGCAATTGCTAAAAATCGCTGCTAATTGCTGCTCCTATGACACTGAATCGCTTTCACGGGCGTCCGTTTGCCCGTGCGGATGAGTTTTGGTCTGCCAGGACCCACTCGGTTTCGGTCCTGGGCGTTGTCTTTATTCCCTCCGGTGTCCCATCCTATGCGCTTTCCTCGTCTTTGGCGCTATCTGCGCTAATAAACTCGTCGCTGCTGCGGTCATTTTTTATTCCGACTTTGCTTTGGTCGTATGAGCTTTCGTCGTCTGAGCTTCCCTATCCGTGCGAACCGGGGTTAACTTTGCTGCAGTTGTCCCTCTCATCCTCCAGTTTGGCGTATGAAACACCACCGCCTTGTATTAGGTCAAACTATCCAAATCCAGCATCCAGCTGATGCTATCAGCTCGTTCGTCGAAAAGTACATTCCTCTTTTCAAAAACTTGTCTAGTGCTAGGGTCTCACAACCTATACCCGATGGCTGTTTTCGGTATTCCTCCCCTTTTTGCTTCAATTTACTTTGTTTGTGGCCTTTATCCCATGCAACTACGAAAGGACTATAAACTTTAAAATTAAAGATTTTTTTGGCTTGGTTGGTTTTGGTTTTTACTGTTTCACTCTCCCATTTGGATCATGTCAAGCAGCGCGTTCGTAGGTGATCTGTTTTGTAGATACACAGCTGTGTATATAGCTTCTCGTCATAGAGACTCCACAGCTTCAGATTGCGTCAAAATTGCGATTGTCAACTCCCACCTAACTGCTTGACACTGCTTGTAAACTGCCACTGTTGCGTTGAAAAATTACTTTCCGTTGTTGCTTCGTATACACTTCAGAAGCTTTCCAGTTTGCCTCTCAACGAGCTCCGTTATGTGCAACCATTATAAGCGACCAAAGCTATCCGCATCCAGAGCATCTAATAGTATGCAGTGGTTTTGACAAGCTGCAAATTTTTTTCTTTTTCTGGGATCCATCCAACCAACACTCGGCCTTGACACGTCCACTATGGCAAAGTTATATCATATGAAATTCTTCCAATCTTTTTTTTAAAACTGGCTTTGCAGTATTTCCAACGAAAGCATGTGCGTGCATGTGACTTGTTCCAGATTTAGATCGTCTCTCTCCCTCTTTTTTGATCTTTATTCGGAGTATCTTGAATCCCGGCAGTGAGTCGCGCGTCAAGATGACGACTACAAAACTTTCGTAATCCTTCTGATAGCTCAACGAGCTGATCCAAAACTTCTTTTTACGCATTAAGGTGACTGGACAGATTTTGGCCGTCCTCCTTCTTTAAACTCAGCCTTTTGTAGAGTGATAATTTTCCGAATGGCCCACCCGGTAGAAAGCTGGAACTTACTACAGATTCTATTTTTGGTCAGTTGATCCGACCTACCAAATTTCATAAGGATCGGCCGACTATATCCATATAACTGAACGATCGAAAATGGTATTTGGTAGAAATATGTACCTATTTTGGTGTTCTTGAAGATAGAAGCATGGGAATTTTTAGATTTTGAATTATTATGAATTGTTTTAATTATGATATTCTCATAAGGATCGGCCAACTATATCCGATGTTTGCGATATATATCCGGTTTTAACTGCAAGGGTATATCCACTTCGGTACCGCCCGAAGTTAGCTTTCCTTTCTTGTTTTTAATCATTTTTAAAAATTCATTATCTTTTATTGTTCTTTGTGAAAAAATTCTCAAAATGTACTCTTTTTTTTAGATCTATCGTAATGCAACCCCTTAAACCACTTTTAATGACATCGATATAATAAACTTAATTTTATAGCCGACTTAATCATTCCAATTAATCATTTTGGCTTCAAATTAACCCATAAATCTTTCAAAATCTATCTGTTTTCTCAAATTTTGAAAAATCAGAGCTCTAAAATATTTTCCAGGATCACGAAAGAAGAAGAAGACTCTAAAACGAAAAGTGAATTTTTTCAACATCCAAAATTAAGGTGTGTTCAGAATAAAATTTCTTTTTCAAATAAATACCTTAATGCCTTAATACCTTAATAAAGTAAATACCTTAATGCATAATAAGATATCGATTTATGGATGCCATTTACTTTTCATTTCACTTGAACAAAATCTGTCGTTTTAAAAAGTAAAGGGGAAATATAAAATTCAAAACCGGAGCACGTTAAGTTTACTTTTTGTCAAATAAAAGTCATTTTATTTCAAAATTTCTTCAAAAAATATACTACAGCCTGCCTGATTGATTTGTATTTCTCAAAGTATAGAAATAATATATATAGCAAACTAAATAACAGAATTAAATAAAAGAAAAGAATTAAATAACCTATTCATAGTCATTTGACCGCTATTACCACCTCTCATTGTAAAACTATTTTTTTTATATTATTTAGTCACTTACCTTTTGCTGCCAGTGATATAAAAGCTTGGGCGTGTCGTCTGATTTTTTCCATAGAAACATCTCGAATGTTTTTTTTAATTAGTGGCAGGCGTATAATTAATTGCTCAACAAAATCCAAAGGAGTTACGGATGAAAGATCCCAACCTAATCGACTTATAACACAGAGCTCCCATTTCTATTTGTGTGAAAAAAAAAAGTTTTTATTGGCCTCAAGTTTTTACCAACAAAGCTTAATTATTAAGTCACACACGATTATAATAATAGGTACACTTAACATCTGAGACTTTTAAATAATTACAAGACCATTTATATTGTTATTATACCCTTGCAGAGGGTATTATAATTTTGTCCAAAAGTGTGCAACGCAGTGAAGGAGACATCTCCGACCCTATAAAGTGTATACAGTAGCGGACACCTAAGTACTTGCACTAAATGTGAACTTTGCATTAGTGTGGTAGGAGCGCGCGTTATTATATCGAGTTAAAATTTTTTCGTTATATCCGGAAGGTCAATAGCTTTCATGATTTGAAAGCATTTTTTAATTTATTAAACTTCTTATGTTAAAAGTTCTTTCTAAATATGTCGAAAATGACTGAAAATGTCTAAGGGGTCATATTGGCCTTACAATCCAAAACATTAAGCTTCCGAGGAATAAGCTCTAACGTTGGATTTATGAAGTCTTCTTTCGAGGATTTCCTACAAAATTTTGAGAAAACCAGAGCTCTAAAATATTTGCCAGGATCACGAAAGAAAAAGAAGACCACGAGGATCGAATCCATTCACGATTAAGCATGACTTTTTCAAATCAGCAAAACATGTAAGAAGTAAGTTTTACCAGTCGAAAGGAGTCGAAATAAGCACTCCAACCAACCGTTCGAAGGAACATTGAGAAGGCAGGACTTCATGGCCGGCGAACAGTGAAGGCCGGCTCCAGAAAAGGCTACAGTGGGTCAAAATGCACGAATCTTAGACTGTACATGATTGGCAAAACGTCATTTTTTGTAACGACACCAAAATAATCTATTTGACTTACAATAGTATGAGCTAGGTGCGCCCCAAACTCGACAAACGCTTCAAAAATAATTGCTTACGGCGAACGGTCAGGCAAGGAGCATGCCGAATGGTCCGGGGATGCTTTTCTTACTATGGCGTTGGTGATCTGGCATTAATTGATGGAACTACGAATGCTGAAAAGTTCCAAGGTGTTCTGAATCGTCACCTTCTACCCTCAATAAAGGAGCATCTCTCTCATGTCCCAAACATAATTTTTCTGGACAACTCAGGTCCTTGCTTTCGTGCAAAAAAAAGGGATATATATTTTTTTAATTCTTTAAGGATTTGTTTAAACAAGCTTAGAGTTTTAAATTTCTAGTATTTTTCTTAAATTAAGGTAATAAATTATTTGCAGAAAAATCGAATATCAACATTAGACTGGCCAGGCAGTAGTCCTGATTTCTATCCGATTCAAAATCGTTGGCCTATTTTAAAAGTTAAAATACATAAAAAGAAACGCAAAAAAATTAAGAGAATTTAATTTAACAGTGGAAAGTGTCTGTTTTAAAGACATAATTAAGAAAACTAACGAACACTTGGTAAATTTTTTGCCATCAAGAATAAAGACCCTATTAAGGATGTAGTCTCATGTGAGAGGTTGAAAAAATTTATTTTTTTTTTTACATATTTCGATAGTATTGTTTATTAAGAATTTACTGTTAAAGTTTCAAATAAAAATATCAAATAATGACAGAGATACAGCCCATAATCGAGAGCGCGCCTACACCGAAAAGTATGAGTTTCTCGGTAGGGTCTAAAGTTTAAACGCGTTTTTCTCGGAACGACATTTTTGTGTGCGGCGCAGGTGATTCACAAAATTCTATGGTACCGATCTAGCTGAAATTTGGATATGTTGTTCTAAAAAGTAACACCTCTGTCCCGTACTAGAATCATTTATTTTTAATGATTAGTTTTATATTTATCATTAATTAAAAATAAATTTTTTAAATTAAAAAAAAATTTTTTTTGTGATTTTGCCATTTTGTTGTTTGTTGATGAAAATATTTCATTATAGTACGGGACAGAGCCATAAGTTTACAAAACAATAATTTATTCTAATTTTTTGTTTCGAATGACTCTAGAAGTCGAAATCACCTTTCGTGTTTTTGAAGACAGAAGTTTGGGACATTTTTAGGTTTTGTATTATAATAAATTGGGTTATATTATCATATTCTCATAAGGATCGGCCAACTATATCCGATGTTTGCGATATATATCCGGTTTTAACTGCAAGGGTATATCAACTTCGGCTCCGCCCGAAGTTAGCTTTCCTATCTTGTTTATTATAAATTATTATTTTTATATACGTGGACGACCACGTATAGCTTGCCAAGAGAAAAATGATCTTATGAGAATAAAAACTAAGATATATCAGTCTTCAAATGTGTTGATCACGGGCAGTCAATATATTGAGAATCTGCTTCAGCGGCACGGCATTAAGGATTTTAGAGCAGCTGCACCAATACTGCGTGCAGGATTCCAAATGGCCAGACATTTTACATTCTGTATCTAAATTGACGCAGCGCAACAAGGATCCCCATATTGAGCATTGGACAGAAATAAAACATGTACTCAGACAGAAGACCTAAAATTTCATTACAAATAAGCATTGAGCCTTTGGAGGCGACAAAACTGATAAAAAGTTATACACAGGATACCTATGCTATGTAGCTGGAGGCCCAACATCTTGGAAGTATGAAAAACAACGCAGCGTGGCTCTCAGTAGTACATGACTTTTTCATCCGCATGCCCCTTAGCTCCTTGTCTGTTTCATTAAGACGACTAATATGGGGATCTGTTGCGGAGAATCTAAACCATCATCAGTTATGCATACTGAAAATATAAGGGCTCAACAGTGGGCAAAGGATCCAGTACATCATTCTATGATTTTTAATACATACAATGGTGGAAAAAATAATAGAAACAAGATTTTTGCGTTCGTTTTTTCCCATTTTTTCTTAAGAACTCTAACAGATATCCAATTATTTTTTTGTCGAAAAAAAATTAATTCAATTTGCTCTCCTTGGAAAAATAATGTAAACAAAATGGATAAATTGATCAATAGTAGTAGCTTAGTAACTAAGCTATTAAGAAATAATTTTCAAAAATTTTTGTTACCTAGGAATAGTTCAAAAAAAAATTTTTTTGGTCTGTCTACATTTTTCTTAATTCCATCGAATATTGAAGTATACGTTTTAAAACAAAATAAAATTTAAAAGAACATGTTTTGAATTCACATTTATATTAATTTCATCGATGTAAAACAAATTTACTCCATAAAGTAAACGCTGGCTGAAAAAAACTAAAAAAGTTGTTTTTTCTGCCTGTCCGGATTTCATTGTCCACTACTGTATATTCTTGAACAGGATAACCTCCTGAGTTGATATGAGTATGTACGTCCGTCCGTCTTTCATATAACTAATTGATCGGAAATGCTATAACTCCGGTGTTTTTAGAGTTATAGAGTTCGGATTTCGTACGAAAGCTATTTGAAAAAATAATACAACCCACCAAATTTCATAAGGATCGGCCAACTATATCCTATAGCTGCCGGTGTTTTTAGAGTTATAGAGTTCGGATTTCGTACGAAAGCTATTTGAAAAAAAAATACAACCCACCAAATTTCATAAGGATCGGCCAACTATATCCTATAGCTGCCTCCATAAGACTCCTCCATGCTCACTCCATAAGACTCGTTCCTCAACTGAATGATCGGAAATGACCCAACTTTCGTGTTTTTGAAGATAGAAAGCTGGATTTTTTGGTCAGTTAATCTGACCTACCGAATTTCATAGCGATCGGCCGACTATATCTTATAGCTGCCATATAACTGAACGATTGGAAATGGTATTTGGTAAAAATACCAACTTTTGTATTTTTTAAGATAGAAGCTTGAGTCTTTTTTTTTATATTTTGTATTGTAATAAATTGGTTATATTATGATATTCTCATAAGGATCGGTCAATTATATCCGATGTTTGCGTTATAGTATATTCGGTTTCAATTGTAGGGGTATATCAACTTCGAATCCGCCCGAAGTTAGCTTTCCTTTCTTGTTTTATACATGGACGTTTTTTAGATATATATTAACTATAGAAATAGTTTGGCATTATTTTTTTAATCTTCCTGTTTTGTCTCTTTAGAAATTCGCGATTCGTAGGGGCGGAGGAGGCGTGACCAAATTTGAAACAAATTTGAGCTGCGTAGGTATTAAAGGAGTCTCCATGCCAAATCCTAAAGTTCTATCGCTTATAGTTTCTGAGATCCACGCGTTCGTACGAATAGACGGACATGGCTATATCGACTCGGCTGTTGATCCTGATCAAGAATATATATGTACTTTATGGGGTCGGAGACGATTTCTTCTCTATGTTACATACATTTACATGTGATATACCCTTGTTCTCTACGATATAAATAGAGTCAAAACAAATTGTATTTTCATATGATTTTTAATATTATTAGTGTAATATTATTTGTCTTGCTAATAATGTTATAAATACATTTTCCTGATATTATTATATACTCGCTAAAGATATTGTCGGGTCAGGCAGCAGTCGTTGTTTTAGGTCTGGTCTATCAATGATGATCATCCGGTTTCATTTGCATGCAGAATAAACATTCTTATACCGTTTAAATAAATTAATTCGTCTTTACATTTTGGTGCGGTTAAGGTCATTGAAAAATCTCTATGACCAAACAGATATTTTTTTAAAATCATTTTTAATATTTATATTTTGCTAGTAATAATAATTTTGAAATTTGTATGATATTAAAATTAAAACACTTGTTCAATATCTTCTACGAAGTTTTGGCCCACTGAGTCAGTTTCGGATGACATTTCCCGATGGTTGAATGTGATAATTGTCGTGCTATCCGAGGCGAAATGAGATCCTTCATGGAGCAGATTAAAAGCGGATTTAAAGAGTTAAATAATGGTTTTTGCAAAATCAGTGAGTGCTCATGGCATTCAGTTTTGCGACCTTCAGCTAAATTAGTTACCTCCCACATGTTGAAGCCATTTATATATTACCTTTGTCCAAACGCTCCACATAATAGCATCCGTCTCTGATATTATGTCTGATTGTGACCAACTGGTAGCTCTGGATAATTCACCATCTT